GGAATTTTCACAAATAGGGTTTGGAGGCTAGGGTTTAAGGTTTCTACTAAAGTCCAAAGGCTTACTTTTGTTGTTGAGAAAACATAGCCAAAGAAAATAATTTTTTTTTTTTTTTTCCTTCAGCTTTTGCATTTTAGACATTTAAGGTCTCGTTTGGATGTTCAAAGTGAAGTGTGTGTATATATATATATCATAAAAGTCCTCTCATGATTAGTTCTCAGGACGGATTCAAGAATTGTCGAGACGAAGACTAGTACTAAAATATATTTGTTTTTGGCAGGACTAATATTGGCTATAGTAATAAAACAAAAAAAATATTGTGGGCTTGAGTCCACAAAGTCCACCTCGGATCCACACTTGTTAATTTAGTTCTCCTTACTTAACCAACCAATTAAAATATTTATTAGAAATCTCATTTGACTTTTCAAAAATTTCAATAAAAATTGTCTTAATTGAGTGACTAAATAAGAAAATTTCATACATCTTCTCACGATAAAACTTTCGTGATAACATTAATCTAAAAATAAAATAAAATAAAAAAATTAACAGGCACTAATGCAACAAAATGCGAATAGAAATCAAAATGAAGGTTTAGACGTTAGAGATCTTTGAAAACCTGGTTGGGCTTGAAAATTGTGTTTACCAGGTTTTGAAAATTCTGTTGATGATGTCTGTGAATATGAAATTGAGAGGGTTGGTGGATCCACACCACCGAAACTAGTGGGTTGTATTTGCCGGTCCAACTAGTGGCAAATTTAATAAAAGTTATTTATTTTGGCCCAGGTAGGCCCACATTTCGTTCAAATTGGGTTAGATTTGGATTGGTCAAGAGATCAATCCCAACTCCAACATACAATTTTAATCAAAGTTTTTATTTTTATTTTTTTATTTTGGCCCAAATACGCCGCGCCCCCCCTGCAGCCACTATTCTAGATTGTTCCAATCTAAATTTAACCCATTTAATTTGAACGTAATGCGGGCACGTGCCACCGCTTACTTTAATAAATATACTAAATTTATATATTTTTACATATTTATATGAAAAAATTTCATATAATTTTTATTTTCTAAAATTATTTGTTAAATTTTGCATTTCTTCTCTTTTTTACTCTTTAATTTCGTTTAATTTTCTTTAAAAAAAAAAGTCAAAATTTCCTTTTTGAATCAAACTCTAATTTTTTTTTTTCATTTTTCTTTCCTTTTAAAAATTTTTGTTAACTATTTATTTTTATTAAATTATTCACTGATTGACATATTATTTTGAGTAAATTTTTTTTGATTTATAGAATATTTATTTATTAGTAATTATTATTATTATTATTTTTTACACTGTGCCCTTGGTGCATTTTTTGATCCAATTATAAATCAATCTCTACTCCAACATTGCAAATTAAATCAAAGTACTTTATTTCGGCTCAATTAGACCCACGTTACTTAGATATGGATTCATCAAACTAGACTAAATCCATATCATTACTAATATTTAATGACAATAGCAACAAAAATAAGATTAATGATGACGGTTGATTTCAAATTGGTTTGGGTTTCAAAGTAGTCTAACTCCAATTGGGTCCAATTATTATTTTTTAAATCATGATCAACTCAATCAACCAACCAACTAATGGAACTAAATAGTCAAAGTGGACTAAGATTGACCAGTTCAAGTTATACCCTTACCTATATTTTTGGCAACAACAACTACGCCATTTTTTTTTTTTTTTTTATTGAAAAAATCAAATGCAGCCATGGAGGCTTAGAGTTAAGAGTACTTTGATAGATTCAAAGGCATTGCCTTGTAGAATAAACAATCTTAAAAATATTTATTTTGTTAAAGAGTATTCTAGTGAAATCCCCATTATCTCTATTCTGTCTCTCATTTTTAAATTTTTTTTTTAATCAAATACATTAATCTGATTTTTAGTACTACCTCCGTTCTATATTAGAACATCTCCAGCAATTTGTTAAAATATTTTTTTTGTGTAAAATATACACTGTTACATATGGTGTGTAAATTTATTTATTTATTATTATTATTATTATTTTTAATCTCCGACAATCTATTAAAATATATTACATCGACACATTAACATATTTCATTTCTCCTTCTTCTTTTTCATTCCATTAACTAATTAATCATATATTAAGTAGTTTTGTAAAAATTATGTGGAGACCAGCTATAACACTGGTTGGTTGTTATTGGGGATATATTTTTACACAAAAAGTATAAAATAATCGTTGAAGCTAAAAATAAATATTCCAAATTTTTTTTTTTTGTGTAAATCTATTATAACACATCAATTTACAAAAAATACACACACACACACATAATGGTTGGAGATGTTTTTAGTTGTGCACTTTAAAAACTTTGACTCATAATTTTTGTTAGTCAAAGTTACCGAAGTAAATATCTAATATGAGATATAGGTAGTATATAAATATATAAAAAGAATATGATTAAAAATGATCTCAAATAATTCAAAAATAAAAAATTATTGTAGTCAAAGTTTTTTAACCATACCGTGCTTTAAAATCGTGTTCAACTCACAATAACTTTATTATTATAAATCCTTGCTGTCACCGTTTGGAATTATAGAATTATTTAACCATACCTTGCTTTTAAATCATGTTTAACTCACAATAACTTTATTACTTCTTCCATTTCATAATAGTTGTCCATCTTTTCTTTTTAGATTGTCCTAAAATATTTGTTCACTTACCAAATTTAAACAACACATACATCTTTTCATAAAATACTATTAAAATTTTAAAAATTTTCAAACTTAATTATATATATTTAAACTTAAAAAAATATTTTTATAAATTTTTAAAGAAACAATGCAATAATTACATCTACTCTTAACAAATTTTACTCTCCATAAAAAATAAAGGGAGTATTATAAATCCTCGCTGTCATCCTTTGGAATTAAGGAATTTTTTTATGTTTCCTAAAAACATGATGTGGCAAGAATTTATTGCGAGTAAAAAGTGCCAAAAAAGCAGGGTGGGGCCAGAAACTTATAGTTGGGAGACCGAATTATAGGGTACGAAAAGAACATTGAATATACATAAATAAATTATACTCCGTAATACATTAAATTTTACATAGAAGTCTTCTTTATTTTTTTTGATATAAAAAAAGAGTAAAACAAGATCATGTATAAATTAAAAATATTTTAAACACATACTTAAATATGCCCGTCTAATTTGGGCATTTATAATGTAAATAAAAAAATAATAATTAAGTTACAAAATAGTGAAACAAAGAGAAGGAAAGAAATGGGCTATATTATATACATATATATATATATATATATTATTGTGATTTTTTAAAAAATAAAGCTTAAATTTTTCAAATTGAGATTATTTGTTAAGTTTGTAGAATTTACTTGTTAATGTAAAGAATTTTTGAGGTAGTTGATTTTTTTAATTTATTCCAATTTAAATAATTATGGGTCCCTATTAAATAGGGTTTTTAAAAATAAAAATAAAAATTGGGGGTCTAGTTTTTTTTTTTTTTTTTCGTTGAGTAAATTTTTTATGGCAGTATTTTTAAATTTTAACAATTTTAGAACTTTATACAGTAAAATAGAGATTTAAAAAAATTTACTGTATAAAGTTCATTTTACTTTCGGAAAAAAGGGACAAAAAGTCAAACACGCGAATAGGTTATTATTGCTACGAGTCTCTCTCTCTATGGTCAGTCTGATCACATGAGAAACACATGGACCTGTTTTTTTTTTTTTTTTTTCAAACGTGGACCTGTTTATGTGGGGCCAGGTGAAGTCGGGTTTTGGGCCCTCGTGATCTTCACCAAACAAGACTAGTTTTGAGTATTTTATTTATTTATTTTTAATTAATTACTGCCGAACAACGCACAAGAATGTCACCATCGTAAAAATATTCTCTGACAAAAGTAGAAAAATAAGTTCTGATTTAAGAGATGTCTCTCGAACTTGGAATAATTAAATCCCAAATTAGCTTTGTTTTCACTCCACTGGGACCACCCAAAACCATTGTTTGAATACTGCATGATTAAATGATATTTACTAGAGGGGTGTTTTTGTAATTAAAATATTATACTGTAAGAGTTTATATATATATATATATATATATATATAAAAATTGTTGATAAGACCTGTCATCCCCCCACAGCACTCATTATTGACAAACGAGAGCAGACGTGGAAAGGAACAAAGCCCACTCTTTAATACAAATAAAGGTACCACTGTCCTTACGGTGATAAATACGGTCATCCAACCTTTTTTTCAACCACTGACCATTAATGCGCGTGCACTCTCACCACTCTTCTCATTAAATAACATGATCCAATTCTCGCTCGTGGCACCAACCACTGTTGTCTAATGATATACCATAACCTAGGATTTGTTCTTAATATATACCTAATTTTTCTTTAATATAAAATAATTTATAATAGCAAAATGGTATAAGCTGTACGCGCAAGCTGACCTTTTCCCCTTCCCACCCGGCAATTGCGTGGGTTTTTAATTCTACCTTTCATACTCGCTCCAAAATTATTTAATATATTTTAAATACGAATATCAAAGCAAGTATTTAATGGAGCAAGGTGTTTTACAATTCTTACACATTCAAATAGTCATGACATATTATAAAAATATATAAATATTTACTTTTTCACTATTTATTTGGCATGTGGCAAAATAATATAATAACACATATTCGTTTTAAATTTACAAAATATAATAGAGAAAAGAGAAGTGAGTAGTATTATTATTATTTTACAAAATTTAAATTCATAATTAGCAAATGGCATTATATGGTACTCCACATGATAGCGCCCACCCCAGTCCTGCGCGTAGCTTAAACCGAACGTTTTTGTAGTTGTCGTACCGTACGTCCATTACTAGGTGTGGGTGGGGCTGGATCTCTTGACTCAAAATCAGTGTTACTTCAATAATAAAACTCCACGGGATGTTTCTATATCCCACCTCCTCATCAGGGGAAGGTCGTTACTCCTTTTTCTCCACTATATACATGTATGTGTATACATATATATGTATGAGTGGATCATAGCCAATCAGCCCAAAAAGTCTTCAAAATCAAATTCTCTACGTTCTTTATGACGCCAGACTTCACTTACACTACTAGTCACACGCAACCCGGTTCTTTACCCATATATATTAGCGATTTGGTGAGTTGGGTAGGACAGTTGATGATATGGATTTTCAATGGATGGTTGAATTCCTGAAGGGCATGCTGAAGCCAATCGCCGCCACTTCGGTGGTGCTTTTGGCAGTGATTTTGTCATATTTTCAGAAATTGGGTTTAGGGGCCGAAATGGTTTATTCAATTCTAAGGGCTTTTCTTCAGCTATCTGTTATTGGCTTCGTTCTTCAGTTCATTTTTAGTCAGCACAATAGCGTATGGATCGTCGCCGCTTATCTTTTCATGGTATTTATTTTCTCCTCTCTCATTGTTTGGTTCCCGAGAAAAATGGAAATTAATCTAATTCTGAATCTTGAGTTTTAGAATGTGCTTGATTTTGCAGTAGCTTTTTTATTCGATTAAGCAGAGTTTATGTGGATTTAGAATTGAATTGTAGATTTTTGTTTCCAAATCCACACTTCTTTCAATGTCTCTCTCTCTTCCAGCAACTACATAGAATATTCCCTTTTGAATTACAAATATTTTAGGATGTTATTTTATGGTTTTACTGAATGATATTAAGTTCCCTGTTCTTTGTATGATTTGATTATATTATTTTTTGAAGTACTATTTTGTGTATTTAATTCTAGAAGAGGAAATTTGATGTTTGTTGAACTTTTGTTTTTTGGTGTTATATAATACTTATGTGTTAGATTGTTCACTATAATATCATTCATGAAATCTTTCATCTGCTGTAAAAAAACAAAAACAAAAAACAAAAAATATAATAAAACAAAAGCAAATAAACAAAAGAAAAAGGTCAAAATTTTGTTTTATAAATGGAGTATGGACCATTGTTTGAGTTGGGTAATTAGGGAGAAATTATTTTTTCTTTTATATTTTACCAGTCTAGACTTTGTGGAAATGATTCAATATAGGAAAATTTACTCATCTTAATTCCTCCAATTTTGCAACTCTGGAAAACCAATTCCTTCTTTTTAGTTTCTCCACAATTCCTTACCCTGAAAAAGTATTGTTCTTTAAAAAGAAAATATGAATTATGATAAATACATAATTATATATGTGTATATATTTGCAAATGACTGTAAAAATGTTACTTCGGAGGTTGTAGCGCGTTTTCTTAAAATGGCTATAAAATTAAGAAGGGGGAAGAGATGAAGACATTGATTTGTTGCAAGTAGGCAGACTAAAAACTCTAATTTGGGGTTGTCAACATGTTTATGATAACAGATGCTCTGTTTTCATCACAAGGTTGTAACATTATCTTGCACTATTCCATCATGGTTTGTCACCGAGTTAAGATTGTAGAAGATAAAATGATGACTAGAATTAATATTCTAAAAACAGTGAATGGTCTTGTATATGTGATAGAACTGAACAGTATGATCGAGCTGATGATACAATTGGATTTGTTTTATGATTAAAGTACCTTGACATTCATGGCAGCTGATTCCTTCTTTGGCATTGTTGGGGTGCATCACTTCAATTGGGCTTATTTATTTCATTGTGCCCTTGCAGGTCTCTGTTGCTGGTTATACAGCTGGTCAACGTGCCAAACATGTCCCTCGTGGGAAGTATGTTGCCGGAGCCTCAATTCTGGCAGGAACTGCAGTGACAATGTTGGTGCTAGTTGTGCTGCATGTTTTCCCTTTCACTCCGCGCTACATAATACCCGTGGCAGGGATGATGGTTGGCAATGCAATGACAGTCACTGGAGTTACAATGAAGAGACTCCGAGATGATATCAAGACGCAACTAAACCTGGTAAGTCATGATAGAAAGAACAATTCTGGGAAATATTAGGATAACCTTTTTGTAGATTGTCCGTCTGCCGCCATATAATATGAGTTCCCTATGTTACCTTATGTTATTGCATTTGCTTGACCTAAATTCCTTTGTATAGCAGTTTTTCACCTCATCTGATCTTGTAACATTAGAATGTATAAAAATTATAAATATTATGAGCAGTGCTCCTGAATCCCGAGTGACAACATGCTTGCTTGTCCTATTTTTGGTTTGTGAATATGGACATCATTTCCAATGGAAAATAGTTTTTCAAATCTGGAATTGTGCAATTTGGCATTTTTATGACGACTTCCTTTGAACTTTTGTGTAGGTGGAGACAGCATTGGCTCTTGGGGCTACTCCTCGCCAAGCAACACTTGAACAGGTGAAAAGGGCTCTGGTTATCTCTCTCTCTCCGGTCTTGGACAATGCCAAAACCGTGGGTCTCATATCCCTTCCCGGTGCCATGACTGGCCTTATAATGGGAGGAGCTTCTCCTCTGGAGGCCATTCAACTGCAGATTGTGGTCATGAACATGCTGATTGGAGCATCAACTATTAGCAGCATCATGTCGACATACCTCTGCTGGCCTGCCTTCTTCACCAAAGCTTACCAGCTAGAAACTAAGGTCTTCTCTTCAGAATGAGGTTGGCATAGTTTTAAACCCTATTCCCATTCCACTCAATTGTGATGCAACTTGAATGGGGAGAGCAATACAAGTCTTTAGGGACTAGTGCTTATTGTCTTGTATGAGTCAAGTCTAGGTGTGAATCATAGACGACAGTCACCATTCAAATATGTACGCGGCTGATATGCAGTCACCTAGCTGAAGCACTTATCGGCAACATAAGAAATTGTATGATATGCTTTTAGTTACTCGGTTTTTGCAGTTATGATTTCTGCACCCCATGAATTTTCTAGCTCCAGCTTGAGATCTATACTTTAGATGCTTAAAGAAATATGCAAGGTGTGTGACAAATTGGCATGAGATTAGAGCAGAACCCTTCAAATATGAAGCTGAGCCTAATCCAATATGGGGTGTCCCTTTCTCAACAAGTATGGTAGGTGCAATGGGAGACGAAAAGAAAAGAGGAACATTGACATTTGAGCCATGGTGGTATGACAGAATACGTCATTGTTCCCAAAATGTCTCGTTTAAAAAGTCTTCTTTGGGATGTTATTAGTCCAACCAAGACAGACTCTTATTAGTAGCACCACATAAATAATTCACAAATTCATGTTGACTGCCATATTGAGACACCGCTCAATGCAGTGTTTTAGCTCTTACAAATGATTTTTTTTTTATTTTTTTATTTATAAAATCTCAATTCAAGAAAAAAAAAAAAAGAAAAAAAGACAAGAAGAGTGAGTAAATTATACCGACTTCCTCTTAAATTTGGACAAATTACACACAAATAGAGCATCAAGATTTAGAACATTAAGATTTCGAACGGATGATCAACACCACCCCTAGAGTCATCTTCACTAATGACTTTATTGTTTGATTATAAGATTGGTCTGCTCACTAAGGTAGTGTTTGTTTAGTCAAGAAAAAAATGAAAAGTGAAATCTAAGTATAAGAGAAAGAAAAATAAAGTTTTTAACAAATTTTTGGTTAGAATGTAAATGTTGTAAAAAAAATAAAAATAAAAATTGTTGAATAATACAAGACAGTATTCGGTTGCGATCTCTAAGTTCCATTAGTAGCCACCATCACCATCAGCGCCACTAACTTTGAAAAACCAATAAAATTATTTTGTGGAACAAAATTAAAAGTTAGCAACATCTTCTCCAACCATGTATATAATTGGTCAGTGGTCCAATCAGCAGTGTGTACTCACACAAAGCCGTGTCGGGTTAGCACAAGTTAGGTAGCCCCCTGAAACAGAAAAAAACAAGAAAAGAAAAAGCCACTAATAATCATAAACATCTATTTTAAATGCATTATTAAAGTACTACCTCAGCTGGGTTCGGATCTCTTCATTTGCTACTATTGTGGAAATCTGATGTTCCGATTGAATGGGCGGTGGTTGATTTTCTGTTTTCCATCTATTTTTATCCCAATCCTTCATTTCTCTTTCCAAGGGCTTCATCAAGAATAAGTGATTCTCCATCAAAAGCAGTTTACTGTTTAGGGCTATGAAATTAAAATAATAATAATATATCAATATAAAAAGAGAGCAAAAACAAGTGAAAATTTTTATATAGTTACCTAATAAAGGTACCATTATCGAGGAGATGAAAATGCTTCAATTTGTGATGGCATGTCGTTGTCTTAGAAAGTGGCAGTAGTGTTGGATTTTTGCACGTGAATATCCTCGTCACTGTCCATGTTTCCAAAGGTGTTAATTGGCTGGAGGAGCAGCATCTTTATTGGGTCACCAATCATGTATAAATGGTCCACTCAGTAACACTAACAAATCATTTGTTATGTATGTAGTGTAAACAACAGTGTGGTTAGTGCCCTAAAAAAACAGAAAAATACTTTTTCTGTCGTAAAGGAGAGTCTCTTTTAAAAAATTAATAAAGGTCATAATTTTAAACGAGAAGAATAGTAGTAATAATCATAAACATCTATTATAAATGCATTATTAAAGTGCTACCTCAACATTGTTAGGATCTCTTCCTTAGTTATTCATTTTCAAATATGCTAATCTTAACCCTCTTATTGGGATTTTTTTGACTTTTTCTCCCTGAAATTTACTTCTGAAAATTCATGCAGTCCACTATGAAGAATGGAGTTCGTCACCATCACTGAACATATTCTTTGACTCTACGTTCTTTATGACGCCAGACTTGACTTACACCAGTAATCACAGGCAACACGATTCTTTACCGATATATATTTGCGACATTGGGAGTTGGGTAGGACAATTTGATGATATGGATTTTCAATGGATGGTGGAGTTCCTGAAGGGCATGCTGAAGCCAATCGCCGCCACTGCGGTGGTGCTTTTGGCGGTGTTTTTGTCATATTTTCAGAGATTGGGTTTAGGGTCCGAAATGGTTTATTCAATTCTAAGGGCTTTTCTTCAGCTCTCTGTTATTGGCTTCGTTCTTGAGTTCATTTTTAGTCAGCACAATAACGGATGGATCGTCGCCGCTTATCTTTTCACGGTATATATTTTCTCCTCTCTCATTGTTTGGTTCCTGAGAAAAATGGAAATTAATCTAATTCTGAATCTTGAGTTTTAGAATGTGCTTGATTTTGAAGTAACTTTTTTTATTTCGATTAAGCAGAGTTTATGCGGATTTAGAATTCAGTTGTAGATTTTTGTTTCCAAATCCACACTTCAATGTTTTCAATGTCTCTCTCTCTTTCAGCAACTACATGGAATATTCCCTTTTCAATTACTAATATTTTAGGATGTTATTTTATGGTTTTACTGAATGATATTAAGTTCTCTGTTCTTCGTATGATTTGATTATATTATTTTTTATGTACTAATTTGTGTATTTAATTCTAGAAGAGGAAATTTGATGTTTGTTGAACTTTTGTTTTATGGTGTTATATAATACTTATGTGTTAGATAGTTCACTATAATATTCATTCTTGAAATCTTTCAATTGCTGTAAAAAACAAAAAATAATAATAATAATAATATAAAACAAAAACAAAAACAAAAAAACAAAAGAAAAACGGTCAAAATTTAGTTTTATATGGGAAATGATTCAAAATTGGAAAATTTACTCACCATAATTCCTCCAATTTTGTTAGTCTGAAAAACCAATTCCTTACCCTGAGCACTTGAATAAAAATTCTTGTTCTTTAAAAAAGAAAATAGGAATTTCATATATGTATATATTTGCAAATGACTGTAAAAATGTTACTTCGGAGGTTGTAGCGCGTTTTCGTAAAATGGCTATAAATTGAGAAGGGGGAAGAGATGAAGTCTTTGATTTGTTGCAGACTAAAAACTCTAATTTGGGGTTGTCAACATGTTTATGATAACAGATACTCTGTTTTCATCACTAGGTTGTAGCATTATCTTACACTGTTCTATCATGGTTTGACACTGAGTTAAGATTGTAAAAGATAATGTAATGAGTTGAATTAATATTCTAAAAACAGTGAATGGTCTTGTGTATGTGATAGAACTGAACAATATGATCGAGCTGATGATACAAATGGATATGTTTTATGATTAAAGTACCTTGACATTCATGGCAGCTGATTCCTTCTTTGCCATTGTCGTGTAGAGTTAGCACATGTTAGGTAGTCCCCTGAAAAAGAAAAAAGAAAAAAGAAAAAAGATACTAATAACAATAAACTTCTATTATAAATGCATTATTAAAGTTCTATACCAGACCAGCAACAGAATTGAATCTCTCCAAGGGCTTCATCAAGGATAAGTGATTCTCCATCAAAACCAGTTTACGGCTATGAAATTAAAATAATAATAATAATATATCAATATAAAAAGAATAAAAAGAAGTGAAAATTTTAATATACTTACCTACTAAATGTACCATTATTGAGGACATTACATATGCTTCAATTTGTGATGGCATGTCATAGTTTCATATGAATATCCTCGTCACTGTCCATGTTTTCTATGGTGTTAATTGCCGGGAGGAGCAACATCTTTATTGCGTCTCCAACCATGTATAGATGGTCCACTCAATAACATTAACAAATCCTTTGTTATGTAGTGTTAACAATAGTGAGGTCAGTGCCATAAATAAATAATAATAATAAATTACCCCTATCATGAAAAGAGTATCTCTTTTGAAAAATTGTGAAAGTCTTTCTTTTTAAAATGGAAGGAATAGTAGTAATAATCATAAACATCTATTATAAATGCATTATTAAAAAAAATTAAAACTTTCTAAGTGCTATATTTCTAATCGCAATATTCCTAACCGTTATAAATTTTTTTTTTTTTTTTTTTTAAGTTGAAATTTTAAATTCTTTTAAAAAATTATAGGCGTTAGGGCACTGTTTGGCAAAAAGTGCCTTAACGGCTAAATACTCTATTTGTGACAAACATTTAAAATTTTAAGGGGAAAAAAAAAAGTTTTTTAATTTATTTTTGGCCCAAATATATATATATTTTTGACAAACAATGCCTAAACAATATATTTTTTATTTAATGAATTTTATTTATTTATTTATTTAAAAAAAAGAGTTCAAATAACCTATTTTTTTATTTTTCCAAAAAAAGACCATTCTGCCAAACACTGTTCGGCACTGTTCCTGACCGTTTAAAAAAAAAAAGATTCACCAAAATGTCGTCGTTTTGGTCAAGAAAAAAGCAAAAAAATAAAAAATAAAAAATTACCAGTGCTCGGACTGATGGAGTGACTTTGGGCCTCCAAATAGCCAAAATTGACCCTTAGTTATTCTTGTTTATAACTCATGCTCATTTTCAAAAATGCTAATCTCAACACTCAATCTTTATTGGGATTTTTTTGACTTTTTCTCCATGAACTATACTTCTGAAAATTCATGCAGTCCACTATGAAGAATGGAGTTCGTCCCCATTACTGAACATCTTCTTTGTCTCTACGTTCTTTATGACGCCAGACTTCACTTACACTACTAATCACACGCCACACCATTCTTTACCCATATATATTAGCGATTGGTGAGTTGGGTAGGACAATTTGATGATATGGATTTTCAATGGATGGTGGAGTTCCTGAAAGGCATGCTGAAGCCAATTGCCGCCACTGCGGTGGTGCTTTTGGCGGTGCTTTTGTCATATTTTCAGAGATTGGGTTTAGGGTCCGAAATGGTTTATTCAATTCTAAGGGCTTTTCTTCAGCTATCTGTTATTGGCTTCGTTCTTCAGTTCATTTTTAGTCAGCAAAATAGAGGATGGATCGTCGCCGCTTATCTTTTCACGGTATATATTTTCTCCTCTCTTATTGTTTGGTTCCTGAGAAAAATGGAAATTAATCTAATTCTGAATCTTGAGTTTTAGAATGTGCTTGATTTTGCAGTAACTTTTTGGTTTTGATTCAATATTGGAAAATTTACTCACCTTAATTCCTCCAATTTTTGTAGTCTGGAAAACCAATTCCTTCTTTTTAGTTTATCCACAATTCCTTACCCTGAGCAGTAGCACCTGAATAAACATTCTTGTTCTTTAAAAAGAAAATAGGAATTTCATATATGTATGTATTTGCAAATGACTGTAAAAATGTTACTTTGGAGGTTGTAGCGCGTTTTCTTAAAATGACTATAAATTGAGAAGGGGGGAAGAGATGAAGCCTTTGATTTGTTGCAGACTAAAAACTCTAATTTGGGGTTGTCAACATGTTTATGATAACAGATACTCTGTTTTCATCACTAGGTTGTAGCATTATCTTACACCGTTCTATCATGGTTTGACACTGAGTTAAGATTGTAAAAGATAATATAATGAGTTGAATTAATATTCTAAAAACAGTGAATGGTCTTGTGTATGTGATAGAACTGAACAATATGATCGAGCTGATGATACAATTGGACATGTTTTATGATTAAAGTACCTTGACATTCATGGCAGCTGATTCCTTCTTTGGCATTGTTGGGTGCGTCACTTCAATTGGGCTTATTTATTTCATTGTGCCCCTACAGGTCTCTGTTGCTGGTTATACAGCTGGTCAACGTGCCAAACATGTCCCTCGTGGGAAGTATATTGCCGGAGCCTCAATTCTGGTAGGAACTGCAGTGACGATGTTGGTGCTAGTTGTGCTGCATGTTTTCCCTTTCACTCCGCGCTACATAATACCCGTGGCAGGGATGATGGTTGGCAGTGCAATGAGAGCCACTGGAGTTACAATGAAGAGACTCCGAGATGATATCAAGATGCAACTAAACCTGGTAAGTCCTGGTAGAAAGAACACTTAGGGGGAATCTTAAGATAACCTATTTGTAGATTGTCCATCTGCTGACATATAATATGAGTTCCCCATATTACCTTATGTTATTGCATTTGCTTCACCTAAATTCCTTTGTATAGCAGTTTGTCACCTCATCTGATCTTGTAACATTAGAATGTATAAAAATTATAAATATTATGACAACATGCTTGCTTGCCCTATTTTTGACTTCCCCAACTTGAATGTGTATGCCATTTTATGATTAGTTTTGTTGTTCTGGTTTCTGAATATGGAAATCATTTCCAATGGTAAATAGTTTTTCAAATCTGGAATTTTGATGACTTCCTTTAAATTTTTGTGTAGGTTGAGACAGCATTGGCTCTTGGGGCTACTCCTCGCCAAGCAACACGTGAACAGGTGAAAAGGGCTCTGGTTATCTCGCTCTCTCCGGCCTTGGACAGTGCCAAAACCGTGGGTCTCATATCCCTTCCCGGTGCCATGACTGGCCTTATAATGGGAGGAGCTTCTCCTCTGGAGGCCATTCAACTGCAGATTGTGGTCATGTGCATGCTCTATGGAGCATCAACTATTAGCAGCATCATGTCGGCATACCTCTGCTGGCCTGCCTTCTTCACCAAAGCTTACCAGCTAGAAACTAAGGTCTTCTCTTCGGATTGAGGGTGGCATAGTTTTAAACCCTATTCCCATTCCACTCAATTGTGATGTAACTTGAATGGGGAGAGCAATACAAATCTTTAGGGCCTAGTGGTTGTTGTTTGGTATGAATCACGTCTAGGTGTGAATCATTAACGACATTCACCATTCAAATATTATTTTTGCACCCCATGAATTTTCTAGCTCCAGCTTGAGATCTACTTTAGATGCTTAAAGAAAGATGCAAGTGTGGTATGTCAAATATTTGAATTTGACATTTCCAATATTTTAAGCAGAAACAATCCTTCTGAGTTTTGACAGACTACATATAGAATTTGGCTGTTGGATTGCAATTTATGTTCAAAATAGAGGGTGAAATTGTTTTTGTTTCATTCTAAAGAATTGTAAGGAACTGTTTTGAGAAGTTGAATGCTATGAATGAATAACTGAATGCTAGTCATCTTCACTAATGACTCTATTGTTTGATTATAAGATTGGTCACTAAGGTACTGTTTGTTTAGTGAGGAAAAAAATAGCGTAAAGCAAAGGTAATCTAAGCATAAGAGAATGAAAAATAAAGTTCTCAACAAATTTTTGATTTGAATGTAAATGTTGTAAAAAAAAATAAAACTAAAAATTTGTTGAATAATTCAAGACAATATTCGGTTGCGATCTCTAAGACTCATTGGCATCACCATCCCACTAACTTTAAAAAACCCATAAAATTATTTTGTGGAACAAAATTTAAAATTAGCAACATCTTCACTCTGTCTCCAACCACGTATAATTGGTCAGTGGTCCAATCAGTAGTTTACTCACACAAAGCCATTGTCGAGTAGAGTTGGCACAAGTTAGGTAGTCCCCTGAAAAAGAAAAAAGAAAAAAGAAAAAAGTTACTAATATATGTATTATAAATGCATTATTAAGGTACTACCTCAGCTGGGTTCGGATCTCCTCATTTGCTCCTATTGTGGAAATCTGATGTTCGGATTGAATGGCCAGAAGTTGATTTTCTGTTTTCCATATATTTTTATCCCAATCCTTCGTTTTCTTTCCCAGACCAGCAACAAAATTGAATCTCTCCGAGGGCTCTTCATCAAGGATAAGTGATTCTCCATCAAAAACAGTTTACGGCTATGAAATTAAAAAGTAATAATAATAATAATATATCAATATAAAAAGAAGTGAAAAATTTAATAAACTTATCTACTAAAAGTACCATTATTCAGGACATGACATATGCTTCAATTTGTGATGGCATGTCATTGTCTTTGAAAGTGGCAGTAGTTTCATATGAATATCCTCGTCACTGTCCATGTTTTCTATGGTGTTAATTGCCGGAAGGATCAACATCTTTATTGTGTATCCAACCATGAATAGATGGTCCCCTCAGTAACACTAACAAATCCTTTGTTATGTAGTGTTAACAATAGTGAGGTCACTCCCTTAAACAATATATATATATATATTCTTAGTTTCATTTCAAATTCTCTGCTCAAATTGTAATTTTTAATTTCTAATTTTTTCCAAGGTGCTCAGCTCAGACCAAAATTGTAATCAAAGATCATAGTTGTAAGTTTCAAGTTTCAATTCAAAGTTCTTCAAAGTTTTGCTATTTATATTCTGTCTTGCATGTTTTGTATTTCTTTGATTAGCTTTCTGTTTTTAATATTCTGTTTCTATTATAGTTTATTATCAATCATTTATCCTGGGTGTTTATGATTATATATATATATATTCTGTTTTAAAAAGAGTGTCTCAGTAATAATCATAAACATCTTTAAAAGTTGTACATATGTTATTGTCTTTTTTAAAATTATTAAATTATCTTTATAAATTTAAATATATTTATTATTATTGAGATTTTTAAAAACTTTAAAAAGTTATTATAAAAAAATAGTCTTATTTTGCTTTGGACAACTAATATGAGACACCTCTAAATAGAAAATGGTATACTAATATGGACTATAATATAATTCGACAATTTGGATTGAGCTATTATTGAAGTAAAGCAATAGTTGGATTAAAAACAAAATTATATTTGGATTAAAAAGGGCAAAATAACAACTTTACAGAATGTACATCATAAAAATAAACAAATATTTGGATTAAAACGAAAATAAATAATATTTAATATCATTTCTTAATAATATTAATGAGAAAATAATTTTCGGAAATTAAGATTGAGAAAAAAGATTAAGAATGAGAAATGAATCGAATGATATGTAAAGCTAATGAAATACTAATAATTTTGGTTGAACCTTGAGGTAAGTCCTATATGAGGAGGATTGGACTAGTGCAAACTTTTTGGTTAACAGTGAGGTTTTCGTTTCTTTACTTGGATTTCTTTCTTGAGCACACGGCTCTGCAACATTATATTAATAACGTGATTTGGACCAAAATACCTATTAAAGTACTACTGAATCACCACGTGGAGAAATCAACGGTAGTGAAATGGCGTATCAGATGGTAATGTTACTTTCGAAATTACCACTAATAATATGATATAATTCTTTAGGATATGTTTGTTTGGAGAGAAGACAAAATGGATATGTTTGTTTGGAGAGAAAGGACAAAATGGAGAGGGAAGAGAAGAATGACTAAGCATCCATTAAATGATAAAAGGAAAAGGAAAATTATAGGTGGGGTATTCCTCTCTAAGCTAACCCAATTTATACATTCGAAATGGAACGGAAAACTTGGAGTTTCAACACTATAACTCCATCTCCATTACCAGATCTGAACTATGCTCATAAACACAAAGGTCTCCCTCTTCTTTTAAGCCTCCTCATTTGAAACCATAGAGCCCTTCGAGGAAAGCATACAAGTAACAAGATGTAAATTTCTACCCACGAGGAAGATATATATATATATATGTTTATATATAAATACACATATATATATATATGGTAAAGCAAACACGCACACTCTTTTTGTCCACTTTTGAGCTCGAATCCTTTCACTCTTCTTTGAGGATGGGAAGGTTATATCTTTGGGCCAAAGGCCAACACACAATTTAATCAAAACAACATGATATTACAAGTAACTAAGGTCAGTTATATCTTTGAGCCAAAGGCCAACACACATTTTAATCAAAACAACGTGATATTACAAGCAACTAAGGTCTCCCTCTTCTTTTAAACCGCGTTTGAAACCACATGGACACTTGAGGAAAGCATTCAAGTAGTAATTAGATGTAAATTTCTACCCACGAGAAAGAAATATATTTATATATACACACGCATATATATATATATATATAGAATTTGTAGTTTGTAGTTGCATAGAGAGAGGGGGGGCAAGCTTGAAAGATATGGGTTTTGATTCTTGGAACAATCTGAAATGATACGCTGTTATGGGTTTTGATCTTCTGATTTTTATAGATTTTGTAGTTTGTAGTTGGAGAGAGAGAAAGAGAGAACGAGAGAACGAGAATAGAGAGATGAGGCGATTAAGGAGGCTGAAATGATTTTGCCAATACGGGTTTTGATATTCTGATTTTGTAGATTGCAGTTAGAGAGAGAGAAAGAAAGAAAGAGAGAGAGAACGAGAATAGAGAGATGAGGCGATTAGGGAGGCTAAAATGATTTTGCCGATATGGGTTTTGATATTCTGATTTTTGTAGATTTTGTAGATTGCAGTTGGAGAGAGAGAGAGAGAAAGAGAATAGAGAAATGAGGCGATTAGGGAGGCTGAAATGATTTTGCCCTACTAACCCTACCAAAAAGGGTAAGATGGTAATTTCATTATTATCATTTTCCTTCTTTTCTCTCTTTTGCGTTATCCAAACAACAATATTATCAATTCCTTTCTTTTCTCTCCAATTTATCCAAATATGAATATAAATTATAACTATCATTTCCTTTCTTTTCTTTTCTTTTCTAACACAATCATTTCCTTTCTTTTCTAACATAATCATTTTCTTTCTTTTTTCTCTTATGTATCCAAACGAAGCCTAAAACTCTCGCCCTTTTTCTCTCTCTTTAAAACAAACTCAAAACGAGCTCCAATGGAGGCAAAGACTTTGTGGATTTGGAGCAGACTTTAGGTTTTTTTTTTTTTTTTTTTTGAGCCGGTTACGCCCGACAATAGTCTGGTCTCCTTTTCTCTCTGTTCCCTCTCTTTCCGACGACTTTGAGAGAGAAACAACTACAAAAATCCAAAAAAAATGCCATAACCAATTGTTTCATTTGACGAAGAAACATCGCCAAGAAAAAGAAATCAAAATAAGAGAAAAAAAAGGCTGTAGAGACAGAGATCAAATGCGTAGTGGTCTCATCGGTTGCACCCATCGACCGTAGCCACCGTTGCTAAGCGACCACCCACCGAGTCACTCCCACCCTCTTCACCACGTCTGACTCCGGAACCGCCGACGAGAAGCTCTTTCCGAATTAGGAGGGTTTTTGAGAAACGTGCCTTACAGATCAGAGAAATATCTATGGACCATTGCGTGTATGCACGAAGGGGAGTGGAAGAGAGGGAAGGCCTCCGGGAAAAGGAAGTTCTCTTGGCCATCAGGGGCGACGTATGAGGGAGAGTTCAAGTAGGGTTGGATGAAAGGTTCGGAACATTCATCAGCTCCGACAGGGACACCTACCGTAGGTATTGGTCAGCGGATTGAAAGCATGGGTAAGACCAAAAGTGGCACGCCAATGGCGATTACTACGACTGCTCGTGGCGACGAAACCTCGAGGATAGTCAAGGCCGGTATGTGTAGAAGAACGGGAATCCACGAAGTCGATATTTCTGTTGCCCTACCCTAATCCAAGGAAAACCCCATAACAAATAACAAGAAAAGACCCTACTTTACCCTATTCCAAATCCACAAAGTCTTTGCCTCTATCGAAGCTCGATTTTGCGTCTGTTTTAGAGAGAGATAAAGGGGTGAGAGTTTTAGAGAGAAAGAAAGAGGTGATGAAGAAGACAAGGGTATTTTTGTAATTTTTTCATAAAAAGATAAACAATTTTCAGTTTTAAATTTAACTTTAAATAGTAAGGCCAAATTTGTCATTTTACAGCCTGATTAACTGGTCGGATATGAATATTGGAGCAATGTGATCACTTTTTAAAGTGTAGGGGATTTTCTAAAACACGTTAGGGTTTATCATCAAAATTTGAAAATAGTGGAGGTTTTATGAAATTAGCCCTTTTATATATATAAACACACGTCTCTCCTTTATCTCAATTCGCCAACAATCTTATGATACACAACACGTTTAACTAATAACTAGTGTTGATTCAAATTTAGTTGGAATTCACATGGATTAGGAATGACATGCTGTATTTGTGTATAAGTTAAAAATTGAAGAAGGAATATACTAGTGTAAAAATTCGCACATAAAAAATTAACAGTTCCACACAAATGAAAATAATCATAAAATTGATTGCTTTGATATGGCGTCCTCTAAATACAATAATTAATTT